TGGATATTTTTGGCCCTCTTTTCTTTTGAGTTTTGATTTATGTTAGAAGAAGAGATTATATTTGATAGATTTTTTTCATTTCAATTTCAATTTAAAATCCTAAATCAATATTATCATTTGGATGATTTTTTCCTTAATACAATTATGGTAATTTCTTAGGTTTAAGGGGTATTTGATATGTCAATATTTTAGTGGTTTTTTATTTAAAGTTTGAATTGAAAGATCGTACATACCGGCGGTTCGACAATAAAACATCAGACAATAGGCTAAATCGATAGGTGAAATTTAGCAATATGAAACCGTTGAACCATTGTTAAATTATGACTTCAATATAAAATACTCTACTGCCAAATTTTTGGAGACGATTTTACAATCCTTGGGTTCCAACAATTCATTTACACTGGTGGAAACAAAAGTTTTAAGACGATGTGATCTCATTCAACCCAAAAGACACTTAACAACTTCTATATTTTTAAAATAATGTATGCTTCTCATACACCTGCTCATTCATCAACTTAATGAGTAACATATATTTCATGTAATATGAATTTTATAGGTTTTTATTTATTGAATGATTTCATGAAAAAAATATTTGCTGCATGAAAATTACTACATTGTTGCTAAACATGTCTGCGATATGAGAATAACTTGGTAAGTCCATACACAACACATTGTCCAGCTAACTATTAGCGACAAGTTAGCATTATGTCCTATATATTTCAAAACAAGCAACTTCAGATTCATTACCAACTGTGTGGTAAAAAAAATGCTCTATATTGGGAAAAACTTAAAGGACATACTAAACTCTATGCACTACAGGAAAAAGATCATTTAATCACGGTAAATCCCGTGTTTGAAAGTGTGTTTCCCGTGTTTAATAGTTTTAGTCATGGTAAAATTACCATAATATATACCTCCGTGTCTAATTGTAAAGGTCACGGGAAAGTGTTACCGTGACTAGTCATACTATTCACGGTATAATTCCCCATGATAAATGGTACCAATTAATCACAGGGATTCCCGTGACTAATACAAAATATTGGAACACAAAACCAACAAAAAAGCTCATTTAGAGACGAGATGTACACCTTCTTTACACAGTATTTACCGTGATAAATTAATTACCGTGACTAGATATCCACCATTAGTCACGGTTTGCTTGATTCTCCTGTGTCTAAACACTAACCATTGATCACGGTATATTATTATGGCTAATGATAATGATTATATACACGCGTTGAAACAAGTCATATTAAGGAGTCCGACTAATGATAATGATTATATAAATAGCTTTAGTTCATGGTATGATGGTACACAACACAGTTACTTCAAGAGGGAAAAGAAAAAAACAAGAGCACAACTGACTCGGAATGGATGTCGGCTTTACAACAAGATCTGCTCCTTTTTATACGGAAATAAGTTGCACAATGATGGAAAGGGACAAGTACAAGATGCAAGCTAAATTCTCTTGTGATCCATTATGACTAGCGCTTAATCTGCTGGTGGGAGTAGATCTGCTTTTCGATGTTGGTGTCAGCTGGCCTGCAAAAATCAAGTTCACTACATCACTACCCTGTCGAGTTACCATAGCCTAAGCTTCAACCTTTGTTAATGTATGTTTCTTCTTTGGCTATCTTCTACTCCAAACCTTTACTTCCTGTTGGTTTGAAGGAGCTTGAATGTGTCTGGTGTACTTTTAATCTATCTAATTATTCAATAAAATGTTATCACCATTACCAAAAAGGGGAAAAGCTAAATGAAGAAGCTTAGGGTGGACAACATTAAGTGTTCTGGATTCTCTAGGCATAAACTATAAAGGATCAAACTTATGGAGAAAGAAAAGGCAACTCAGCCTGCAGCAGCAGTATGAAAAGCTGGAAAGGGCAGTAGATTACCTGAAGCACCATCCATCTCAAACACAGCTATAAGATACTTACCTCCATCTCACCATGATGAATCTTAACTAAGCTCGGAACCTATATAAAAATGTATACACAACTGATTCATCAAAAGCATCTGTCTTTAATTGAACTCTAGACTTCACAAACTTCTTCAGGTACTTTGCCATCAGCTCTAAATTACCCATGTTACAGATAATGTGAGTGCCACGTTCAAACTCCAAAGGATATAGCAATTATCAATAGTGAAGAGCGCATCAAAGTAAAATCAGAACATCTTTAAAAAAAAAAATGTAAAATCCAACCAGAATGCCTTAAATACAATACACAGAGACAGAGTGCACTGTTAATAAGCAACAGCAAGACAAAGTCGCAACAAGTTAATGGACAAACCTGAAAACAATACCTGTGATACTGGGTTGTAATGGATCATTGTTCTTTTCACAAGCCCTATTAATCAACCATTAATTTGGCATCGTTATGAACCTTAGCATATTTCTGTAGAACAGGAGGACAGTTAAACACGAACAACGGCGATAAGCACCCCCAAAGAAAAAACGATTAAACAACATATATCCAAGTCAAATTCTAATCCTACCAGTAAATTATTGGCAGAAGCAGCATTGTGACAACTACTTGAGTCTCGCATTTTGAAGATTCAGAGAAAGGAAACAAGCATGTTTAAACAAAGAAAAAGAAAAGAGCAGGGGAGTACATATGTGTTAGAAACTTAAAATATGGAGAGACAAAACTGGCCACTACCTTGAAGACGGATCAGCTTCTGCCTGACCCATAATCATTCTAGAGCAAAAACATCACCCAAATGAACAAGCTGCCTAAACTAGAATAAATTCAAACAGTCACTGGTAGGCCTAAGCAGAACTTTTGTGCCACAAAGAAGGGAAAGATAAAAGTCAAAAATTCGATAAGTGTAACAAATTTCAACCATCAAGCATGAAAAAAATTTACCATCCCCATTCACCATTCAATAGTGCCCCAAATATTGAATTCCTAGAAAACTGAAGTCCCCTGTCCTGTTCTATATCTCAGAGACCACTGCAGGAGGGTACATCTTCTTTTACCTACCAACTCTAACAAGGCATGACCACCATAAATTAGCACCAACAGCTAGTGATTTTCCATATCTGGAAATCTTTCATTAGAACCCTTTTCTTTCATTAAAACAAATAGAAGACACCATTTTAATAGATTCTGTTTATTCCTTTCTCTAGCTTGCCATTCAAAACTTACCTGTTTGTGTTCAGCAAATTCGCAATCTGCTGCTGTATTTTGGCAGCTTCTTGATATAGTATTGCTGAAACCATTTTAGATGCAAGGGTGGAGAAAAACGAATGAATATCCAATATGTACTGCTGTAATAGAAACAAAGAGACCTATATGAACAAACAAACAAACAAACAAACAAGCAGAATCAATATCTAACCAGGAGTCCAAAACCACGAATTTAAATTTTGGGTAAACCATAACCCTAACAACCAATAAGTTTGGTTCTTGACATACACTAGGGAAAATCAATCTCAATCGATATCATTTTGGAATTTTAGTTTAATGTTTTCCAAGTTTTCTGTATATTGCTTTTGGGCAAATCAATCGGCAGCTAGCTAAACTGTTTGAATCGATAGACTAGGAAAGGCAGGTGAGAAAATACTATAATGAAATGGGTAAAGGAATAAACCTTTGAATGGGGAAGAGGATAAAGAGACAGCGTAAAATCTCACGGAGATAAGGGTAGAACTCCAGGCGAGTGGATAGAGCTCTGCGACTGAACTGAGATCTCAACTAGCTCTAAAATCACACAACCCCAATTCAAAATTTTATTATAACAGAAGAGAATCTTACATGATGTGTTCTTAAAAGTGCTAAGCATGATATCAAATATATATTAAAACGAATTAAACAGTTGAGTGAGAGAAGTACCTCATCAGAGAATTTGGGTAACTGGGTCGTTGGGGGAACTGCTCGATTCTCCCGAAATCTCCCACTGCGAGCTGCTTAGCTAATTGCTAGCTGTTGAAAAATCTCCACTGCGTGCGTTTGTGGCATGTAGCTCGCAACAAGAATCAATATCACATATTCAATGGAAGAGAACCCTAAATTGATAACACATTAGCCTGGAGATTTGAAGAAGAGGTGAGGAGAAGAGGGAAGTCACTGGACCGAAATACTGCAGCTCAAAGGCTGCGGTCGCGAGCTATGAAGCGATTGAGGGGGGGACGTTGAGGTGTTGGTTCAGATTCGCTATGAAGGGGGTTTGGTTCCATTCCAATACGATGAACAGAGAAGGGAAAAAAGGAGAACGAAGCGAAGAGAACGAAATGGTACAAGTAAGGGGTTTTTCTTATTTTGATCTTTTTATTGTTGTATATATGAAACCGGGAAATGAAAAAGTTGGGCGGGGAAGAGAAAAAGTTGGGCGGAAAGCCAAAACCAAAGTGAATTTTTCCCCCGTGAATGAAATACTAGGCGCCCAATTTCCCTCCTAAATTTTTGGAAAATCTCATATAGATAAGTTGCTAACTATTTAATCAATAAAAGTATAATTTTTTCATTATTCATGGTAATTTTACCGTAATAATCTATTAATCACGGGAAATAAAAACTCAAAAATAGATTTGCAAATTCCCGTGACTAGAGTGATACAATTAATTACTGTGATTTTTCCCGTGATTCTTTGTATACTTCTTAGTACGGGAAACAGTCCCGTGATCAGAATCCCGTGACTAGAAATTGATTTTCCTGTAGTGATGAGAGACATTTTGTTTCATCCTAAATGTTGATTATGTATGATGTATTATGAGAAACAACTCTAATATTCAACTATATGGTTTAATTAAACAATAAATGACAATTAATTATATTTATTTATTTTTTCATTCAATAATTATATGTAATGCTTATAATATATATTTTTCTCTTTTTTCATGAAGGTCTAAACACATTATGCATAGTTGAATCACTTTCAAAAATGTTATGTGCATAATTAAGGTAAAAAACAATTATTTCATGTACTTCAAATTATCTATTATATTCATTATTATATATCATATTAATCTATGAAAGAATAATTCTTTCAGCCAACGGACTGGTTACTGTGATAGTTCATTATACAATCAAGTAGCGGAGGCATGATCCAATCAACTAGTTTGGATATAAAGGCCCAAGAGACAGCTGGTATATCATGACCGACAGAGAGAAACGCGGTTGGAACTTTCTATCATCACATGAAGAGAAATAAATAATCCACAGCGCATCACTATTCCCATCAGTTCAGTGAACGATCGCTCCAATTTCCGGCCATTATATTTACCGCGAAAATAGACAGAAGGCCGACCGTGATTAAAGCCATACAAACGACTCCGATCCCGGCGGTCCCGGATTTTCACAGCCCGCCCTTATTCCGCCATTTAATACCACCGCAAAGAATCCTCCCAAAAATCCCTTGCATTTCTCGAAATCAGAATCCAAGAGAGATTTTATTACAGGGGAAGAAGTCCGGCAATGGGCTCTCTTCCGCCATCTCTCGATCTTCCTTCCGATCCCAAACACCGCCAGCAGCAGATCGACGAATCCACCCTCCTGAATCTCTTCAAAGCCCAGCAGAACCACCTCAATTACTTCTTCCGCCACCTCGATCTCTCGCAGGCGCTCTCCTTCGCCCACACCCTCCTCAACTCCTCCGGCACCATCTTCTTCTCCGGCGTCGGCAAGTCCGGCTTCGTCGCCAACAAGATCTCGCAGACCCTCGTCTCCCTCGGCATCCGCGCCTCCTTCCTCCACCCCGTCGACGCCCTCCACGGCGACATCGGCGCCCTCTCCTCCCTCGACGTCCTCGTCCTCTTCAGCAAGTCTGGTAACACCGACGAGCTCCTCCGCCTGGTCCCCTGCGCCAGGGCCAAAGGTGCCCGCCTCGTGTCGGTGACTTCCGTCGAAGGGAACGCCCTGGCGTCTGTCTGCGATATGAATGTACATTTGCCGCTGGAGAGGGAGCTCTGCCCTTTTGATTTGGCACCGGTAACCTCCACCGCGATCCAGATGGTGTTTGGGGATACGGTGGCGATCGCGCTTATGGGAGCGAGGAATTTGACCAAGGAGGAGTACGCGACTAACCATCCTGCTGGCAGAATCGGCAAGAGCTTGATTTTCAAGGTTCGTTTCAAAATTGGGGTCAAAATTGTTGTTGCCCACAATGTGTTTGATATATTGCTGATGTTGGAATTCAATGCGAATTGATCTGAGAACTGAAGTGGTTAATTGGATCTGCGTTTGTTAGTAGTCTGACGATAGATAGCCTTGATATCGACTTCAATTATCTTCGCCACGAGGAGTAAGAACTCGGAATGATAATGTTTGCAATTTGCAGGTGAAGGATGTTATGAAGAAGCAAAATGAGCTGCCGGTGTGCAGGGAGGGAGATCTGATTATGGATCAGCTGGTTGAGCTGACAAGTAAAGGCTGCGGTTGCCTTCTTGTCATTGATCCTGATTATCGCCTTATTGGGACGTTTACTGACGGTGATCTCCGGCGAACTCTCAAGGCTAGTGGGGAAGCCATATTCAAGCTTACAGTTGGGGAAATGTGCAACAGGTACAAGAAAGGAACCTGCATTTTCTTCTGCTTTACTTTTTCTTTTTGCTGTGAAGATTAGAACTGCATGTAGAAACATGTCCTATTGTGATTTGGGTACCCATGATACCCAATGGCTGATTCTGTTTCTCTTGAACTCACTGTGTATGACTGCCGATCATTTCCAGGACACCAAGAACAATTGGTCCAGATGCAATGGCAGTGGAAGCAATGAAGAAGATGGAATCACCACCATCACCTGTACAGTTTTTGCCTGTGATCAATGATCAGAATGTTTTGATTGGAATCATAACCCTCCATGGACTAGTTTCAGCAGGTCTTTGATCTCCACAGCTATTATTCCAGGCGGAGCCACATGTAGTTCCATGTCAACATTAGTGTATTTCCTTCTGCAGAAGGATGATTATCATCATTCCTTGTAGTCATCACTCAAGATAGCTGCTGGGTGGGATTTTGCAGAGGGGATCTTCTTTTGCATTCTTTCACGATTGACATCGAAACAATGAAACTCCTTGTACTGTACCGTCGATTTCTGTAATATAGTTAACTATCCCATTTCTATTTCATTGAGAGACAGATATGTAAAAGGATGGTTCTTTCCTCGGTTCATCCTGCACTTCCAGATTCACGTTGTTTGTGCAAGGAAGGCCGACCAAACCTGCAAATGCATCATCGTCACATCTTCCCAGTGATAGTGAGAAACGCAAATTTTGCTACAATATTTTTACAAAGATGAGCTTGATTCACTGGTGCTATCAGAAGAAACTTCAGGCATATGTATGTTACAAGCAGCAGCATCAGCAGCAGCAGAAGTAAAATGAGACGTCGGCTTCACACTGCTTTTGTCCTTCAGTTTCTTTTCTTTCAAGGACTTCCATTGGAGCACTCGTGCCTTCAGTTCTTCCCTCACCCCAGAGGCGCTACTATTCCAGCCTCCATAGGGTACTGATGGATCATAAAACTTCCCTTTCCCTTTCCCATCTGATTCTCCAATGCTGCACTCTGCTTCACCTAACTGCCTCCTTCCTAGTGACCTATTTTTATCAGAGACAATGGACAGCAGCGAAAGGTTGAGATCATTCTTTGCCCATTTGTAAATTGCACTCAGTTTGCCTCCCACTGCTTCGATAAGAACTCTTAACTCGTCAATCTCATAACGGTACAGAAAGATCCTTTGAACCCAAGGACAAGAGCAGAGCTGCTTTGCATGGTTTAGGCACGAGTATCTGTCAGCAGAGCAGGGACATGTAGCTGCAGAGAGGTGAAGATCATAATAACATACTATGCATTCCTTTTTGCTTGTCGTATCAAAGTCCTTGTCCATCTTCTTTGACTGTGAAGAATTGCACAGATATTTCCTTCTGCTGGCCTCCAACTCAATACGTAACTGCAAAATGGAGTCAAATACACAATATGGAGAATCAAATCGTAACTACACGAATGGAGGTACTCGTGACCCGTGATAATAAAATATTAGAAAACAGCAAGGGTTTAACCAAACGGTCCTGAAGTTCCCTAAGCATGCTACCACGAGCAATAAAGGGACTGACTACCTTGAGGGCTTTCAATAAAATCCCATCCTTCCCAGCAGCCTCCTTCCATCTTGCATTAACTGAGATATCTTTGAACGAAAGTAAGTCTAACCATTGCGCCTTCACAGCTTCTCTAGCGGCACCAATCAACATCTTATCCTGGGAAATAAATGTCCGTCTTCCTTGTTCACTGTAGAGTTCAGCAGAATTCTGCCCATGTGGTAGCCACTCGACTGGAGCCAAATGGATACTCTCAGCACAATTAAAGCCAGAGTCAAACCCCGAATAACGTGTTCTTGGCAGGACAAGAACAAACTCTCCAGGACACTGAATGCATCGATAGACAGGTAATCCATCTGACTTCAATCTCGTTAGCGTCAATTTCATTAGCTGCACCAGCAAATGCATTGCATAAGAATCACTTCCTTTCTGCAAGTAGTGATCAGAAGAGTAACATATATTTGGCCATCAATAGAAAGGCGACTTGAGGCTAACTCCGAAATTGAGTGACATGAACTTCTATATTAAATAATCAAAAGTTATAAGCTGCCCCAGGAGTTTAATTACATGAAGACAAGGCATTTTATCAGAATAAGCGTAAAAACATGAAAATCTGGTGCTTTTGACTCACCTGCCTATTGTGTTGCATCTTTGAATGTTCCACAGGCGATTCTCGCAGGTAATCCTTGATAGCAATTTCAAATTTCGAACCATGACTACCAGGGATAGCATACCAGATTTTGGGGGCACCAATATGCATGTAGGAGAGATAATACATATGGTGCATTGCAAGTTTCTGCATTTGAAAGTTAATAGAGCAAATGTAAGAGATCAATAGCTTTGTTCCTATTGAAAAGGAAAACTAATGAATAACTCTCGTTTCATTCTGCTGGATATACGAGAGTGTAGCATATCTTAGCACAATCCTATGAGAAACTCTGTGAAGCTTACCCAAGGAAAAGACGAGAAGCACATCCCTACTCTAAGTCGAGGCCGTAAGAGCCCAGAAGTACTATAGCTCTCAAATGATAGAAGTGAATCTGGAAGCACAGCTGTCTTGTTTAAGTTCCAGCCCGAGTCCAAGTACTCCTGACTGGTACAAGTTTCTGAAGATTTATAGACGGGAAATCCACTGCCAAAGACCTGGCTATCCAGATTATCACCACAAATCACCTACAATAGTCAAGAGACAATATAATAACAGATGCCAGGGCAAGTAATGACCTGAGCTTACATGTAGCAGTGACATTAACCGAGTCTATCAGACATGGGATAAGCAAACCAAGCCCAAAGACATGTCACCCCAACATACCTCAATCTCTTCAGTAGGATTATCAATAATTCTTCCATACTCACCCTCAATATCCATCAGAGATGGTTCCCTCTGCTCGACACGCTCATTGGAATCCACTTCTGAATCCAAGATGCCATCTATGCAGAAGTACTGAGACGCAAAATCATCGGCATATTTCTTGAAAGTTTTAAGAGTAAACTTTGGACCAGGTTCTAGTCCTACACCTTCCATGTCAGAACACTTAACAATCTCGCCTAAATTTTGGGCCTGCATTCCATCTATCCGCTGAACTTGTGATTCAAATATCGAATCTTCCCACATATTCTTTTCAGTAATAAGACTAGGGGGATGCCACGACGGAGGAGGAACAATGCGACAGATACCATAGGGTTCTGCTCTTGAACGTATACTTGTAATATACTTTAGTGTTTCCTTAAATTCCTGGAGCAGAAAAAGTTAAGCTCATTCAAATAACTCTTCAGAAGCATATGCCTCACAGAATGAAAAAAAAAAAACATCAAGAACATGACGAGAAATGCACAATCACTTTTTCCTCATAGTTAGACAGGACGGACCTCCTCATTGGGGTGGAACACAGGAGCTTCTTCCAGGACATGTTTCTTCCCTTTTTCTGGCTGCCACCTTGCCATCACCTGTTCCAGACTTGGCAAGCATCAAAATCAAAACGCAGTCCATAGTTGGGAAACTGTTGTGTAGCACCTAATTATCAGAAGAAAATAAGTTTTGGACAGGTATAGACCTTCACGCAATCCCTACAATCTGGACATCCTCTAGCAATGCCTTTCGGGAGGCAAGTGTATGAAGAATGCTCCTGCAAAAGAATTTAAGTTTGAGTATCCTGATCATAAACAAGGGAATAAATACGTAACTCTCAGTTGTCTCCAAACTTGAGTTACAACTTGATAGACTTAAATCAGAAAGAGAAAAAGTTGAAACCGTATCCTCTTGGTTCGAGCTGGCCTCCTCTTGCATATGATCACCATCACCCAGGTCATGTAGTATCCAAGGCCGCCGTGCAGACAAACTCTTCAGCATTGCACCATCAATCACGGCAGATGCCTTCTCATCAGTTACAGAAGCCGTAGGGCCAAGCCTTTGCTCAGTGGAGTCAACTTTTCGCAACTTAAAAGATGTCTGAGACTCAACACGAGGATGCAATCGAGGACGATTCAGAGAACCTTTTTTACGAGCTACTCTTTTTGTCCTCATTGTTGTTGTTCTTTGTTCTGAAAATTGAGCAAAAGCCCACAAAGCAGCAGGTCAAAAATGCATTGATAAGCTAATAACTGCTTTGATTTCTACTGCATCCTCGAATACTTGAACCCAGAATTAGAATTTAGCTGGCAACTCTCCATAGCCATACAAGGAAACTTGACATACCCCGCAACAACTATCAAATAAGCGACGGAAACCAGCGATGGCCAACTTAAATCACTTGTGGGTTTGCTCCAACTCTTCAACCCACTATTACTGCAGCAAGAAATGAATTTCCTTTCCAAGTTAAGGTACTATTGTACAATCGCTGGATCCATCGACGCCTTATTTAGATGAGTTCCCCGGCACCATTTGGGAAAAGCCCAGAAAAGGAATAGAGAGGAGAAACAATAGTACACAGCTAACTAAGATTTTCGATAGACTGGGAAGGAAACACCGGAAAAATTATTCGTTGGTCCATCGGAAAACAGAGACGGGAAAACACATACCCAGGACGAAATCAGCGCCGCGTGTTAAGAAGGCGGCGGAAATGGAGCACGTCGGTCAGGACGAAAAGCTGTGAACTGATACGGCAGGGGCAGAGAGGGCCATTTGGGTAACAACTGACGGCCGTTTTGGTTCCGTTGCTTCTTTCAGCTCGGTAAATTACTAAGATCGGCGATACAGTGGCACTGTTGGTCGGTATGAGGAAGACCACGTGTATGGAGTTTTTTTTGGCAATGTCTATTTTTTATCCAAATCTTTTTCAGATTCTTTTATTTTAATCAAACTTATAGAAATTCTATTTATTATCCAAACATATTATAATTTATCAAAATCTGGGCATTCATTCTGTTACCGTTACTTATTTCGTCCACGTGAGAGGTGAAATTTTGTTTTGTTTTTTGATAATCTTTTTATTAAAAATAGTAAATGATGGTATTCTGACCGCCACGTAGGAAGTCAACTCATTATGGTCATACTTAGTCAGCATTACTAACAGAAAAGTTGACGGAGAGTTAACGTTTGGATAATTTTTAGGAATTCAATAGGTTTGGTTAAAATAAAAGAATCTGAAAAAGGTTTGGGTAAAAAATAGACATTGCCTTTTTTTTTTAACGGAATAGAGCTATTACAATAGCAAGATTACATGACATTAATGTGGCTATCAATTGTATATTTGTAAGCTTGTAACAAATGTAATTGTATATATATAAGTAAAAAGGTCGAAAATTATAGTAACTTTTTATTTTATAATTATTTTTTATTTTATAATTTAAATATAATATTTAATTACATATGCAATTGCAAGTTAATTGCATTGATGTAGGTGAATAAAAGTGATTTGAGGTGGATTGCAAAAAACAAAAAAAATTGAGTTGGCAATAAAGAGTATAAATGAATTTTTTTTTTAATTTCATTGATGTGAATGCTCTAAGAATCTCTCATTTGTTCTTCGCTGATGATTCTTATTTATTCCTGCAAGGTTCTCTTCAGGAGTGCGAGAATTTAATTGAGCTGTTGAACGAATATGAAGAGCTGAGTAGTCGATGGGTTAATCTGGAGAACTCTGCAGTGTGTTTTAGCAAAAATATTGTCCTTCTAGATCAAGAGTTATTGGCAACGATTCTAGGGGTTGGTGCAGTAGGGGTCCATGATAAGTATCTGGGGTTACCCACGTTGATTGCCCGATCCAAAATGGCTACGTTCCGATATTTAGAGGAGAAATTAATAGAGCGACTGCAGGGGTGGAAGCAAATGACATTGTCCTGGGCGGCAAAGGAAACATTAATTAAGTCAATAGCTTTGGCTCTACCCCTGCATGTTATGTCGTGTTTCCGGTTACCTCTCTCTCTTTGTCGACTTTTGGATAGACATGTGGTCCGGTTCTGGTGGGCTGCTGAGGAGGGCCACCCCAAGGTTCGGTGGGTGTCCTGGCGCAATCTGTACAGGAGTAAACATGATGGGGGATGGGATTTGCCGGTTTGAACATTTTAACCAAGCTCTTTTAGCAAAAATTGGCTTGCATATCCTCAATGAACCTCATTCCCTCCTTGCCCAGGTCTATAAAGGGAAGTACTTTCCTCAAGGAACTATTCTGGGCGCGAAAGCTCGATCATGCCCTTCATGGGGGTGGCAGAGTATCCTGTTTGGGCGCCAGTTATTGGAGATGGGTTTAAGATGGCAGGTCGGAAATGGCCGATCGGCCTCTCTTCTCCACTCTAACTGGATTACAGGGCTTCAGCTGGATCCCCCTTGCTATAATCCCCTGATCTTGCCAGATGGGGGTGACCCCTCGGTGGCGGAGGTTATTTGTCAAGGGGAAGTGCGTTGGACTGATGATAAGTTTAGTCAATGGTTTGACCCGTCTACTTGTCGTGTCATTAAGGCTATTCCACTTCCGCGGCAAAATGTGGCTGATAAACTTATCTGGCATAACACAGCAGACGGGGTGTTCTCGTTAAAGTCGGCTTACCATTTGGCTGTTGAGCTGGACAGAAGGAGGGGTGGGTGGCGGTCATCGGTTAGTTGGATGGATAAGCCATGTTGGATCCGGTTGTGGGAAGCTAAGATCCCTCCGTACCTGAAAGTCTTTGTCTGGCAAATCCTTAATCGGGCTCTACCGACCACTGAGGTGCTCATTGAAGAAAAGGTCTCTGTGCAGCCCCGGTGTCCGGTCTGCTGGGATAGCCCCGAGATGATAGAACACATGTTTCTTTATTGCCCGGTTGTGCGGGCTCTTTGGAACTAATCAGGATTGAAGTACTTGGGGGAGGGTTTGCCTCGGCACACCTTTCCTTTGTTTCTCAAACGGCTGCTGGCACTGATCCATCAACCGTCGGTGGTCATGGCTGTGGTATTCCCCATATTGTTGGTGAAATTGGCACATTACGCCGGGATCCCAAACTGTTTGCCTTCAAAGACAACCCAGTTACGAGACCCTAGATGCCTGGTCAACCGGCAGGACCACCCATTCCCCATATTGTTGGTGAAATTGGCGCATTAGCGTCGGGATCCCAAACTGTTTGTCTTCAAAGACAACCCAGTTACGAGACCTTAGATGCCTGGTCAACCGGCAGGACCACCCATTCCCCATATTGGTGGTGAAATTGGCGCATTAGCGCCGGGATCCCAAACTGTTTGCCTTCAAAGACAACCCAGTTACGAGACCGCCAAATCCGCCAAAGGATGGCAACTGGGTGGTCCTGCCAGTTGACCATGCATCTAGGGTGTCATGTCCGTTGGTACAGCCAGGGACTCAAGTGGGTGATTCTCGATTGGTTTGCATGTGGGATGGGGCCACTAGGAGTCGGTCGCACTCGGCTGGTGGGATGGTTCTTTTTGATCAGGCGCGGATGCTCCTTTTGGCAAAGGGGGTTCAGTTTCCTCAAATTGACGAGCCGACGGTGGTGGAACTGCTTGTGCTTCAGGAGGCTATTATTTGGTGTTTGGAGTGTGGCTTGTCGGCAGTCTGTTTCGAGGGCGATGCGAAAGTAATTATCGACAAAATTAATCAAGCCGACACAAGCGACAACCGGTCGGGGGCTGTTCTGTAAGAGATATGTCAGTATTTTTGTGCCCATCCTGGGTTTAGTGTGCGGTTTATAGGTCGGGAGAACAATAGGGTAGCTCACTCGGTAGCTAGAAAAGCCCTCTCTTTGTATCCGACTGTAAGTCGCTTCTTTGATTTCCGGGCCTGGCTGGTTTCGAGGATGTAACTACCTATTTGTTTGGATTAATATATGATATCTTTTGACAAAAATATGCTCTAATACAACTATTGCCGAGCAAGTGAGGGGTTAGAGTGCTAACACTTTTTTTGTTAGCACCATGCCAATAATAGTTCCATCTAATCAAAACGTTTCGTTTTGATTATTACTTTTCTATATTTAAGTGTTGAGCACAATTAATTACAAATTTATCATGGAAGGACAGGCTTGTCATTTTTTAAAATGAAATTATCATGTGTCCCTTTCTTCACTTCCCAATTCCACCGCGAGGAGCGGAGGTAGAGTACAATAAGGGGGTTCTATGGCACCCCCTTAGATTTGGAGAAAAACTCAAAATATTAGTAGTGTCAGCTAGTTAATAATGATATTTAAATCCTAAATTTTAATGTCAATCATTATTAAACCACAACAAACTATATAAATTAATTTCGATATACTAATTCTACATTTCTACATTATGATTTATCAAGATGGATAAGAGATGCATATTATTTTGATAGGGAAGAGGTGCATATTATTAGAGAAAATCATTAAAATTTTTTGATGACGATAGCCAGAAAAGAAATTACTTCCCATCAATGTATTTTCTTTTAAAAATATAATTAATTTGCTACTCCAATGTCAACGCACAAGTTAATAACACTTTATGCAATGAAACGATTGACCAACCTTCGCATCTAGTGAACTGAAATTGTAAATGGTTATTTAGAGGGATGCATTAAGTGTGAAATCTTAATAGTTTGGTCGATTTTTATAATTATAAAAGAATTTCCCAATATGAAACATAAAAGTGCATATGTAATTTTTTTATGCCACCTCCTTGATTAAAATCTTGCCTACGTCACTGTCCACCGTTGCTGCCAAGTAGTAGTTCTGAAGGAAGTCGTTGGTTCCCATGCTCAATACAAACACCGCATTGTTCACCGTCTACTTCGCCTTCTTCACGCCGACTAGCCGGCTCAGGTGGAGCTTGTAGTGATTGAAGTACCGCAGCTGCCTAGTATTCGAGAGCACATTCTATCCGTATATGTACGTACATAAACTATTCGAGAGCACATTCTAGGAAAAACCTGGTGCATGTCGTATACCAGACAATCTCCACCGTCCGCGTCCATCTCAACGACCACCATAAATAAGGTAATTTATTTTTTAATCCCACAAAAAAGAATCTGCATTAATGATGGTCGTTGATGGACGTGAACGGTGGAGATTGCTGGTGTACGACATACCCCAATATATGTCTGGTGTATGATAGAAGTCTCTCTCATACCGGGTATTTTAGGCAGCGGACTGGCATATTGGGCAGAAGGCCCCCCCGGTCGTGGAGGCTACATACCCCACCGGGTAATTTTAGTTCCGGCTGGGTATTTTGACCCGTGTGACGGGAATTCGGATTTTTAAGTTGTTTTTGTTATTTTTAATTGCCTAGACCTATATAAAGGCTGAAATCGGGTTTTAGAGTGAGTTTTTAGCGGAATATTTATTTTAATCTTGGTATTGAGCTTAATGCTCGAACTTTTTATCTGTATCAATCAAGTTTTCCCCTTGATTGTGGTGGCGACTCTATCAAAGCCTACAAAAAGTTTGGTGCACTCACAAAAAGGAGTACGTTCAATGAACCCAACTCAAAAACTAGTCTTAAGGTGTCGGATTTTGAATTTTAATTTGTAGAATTACTGTAATATGATATAACATATGATAACAACTGCTTAGCGAATTACCCTAAACCCCAAATTGTAAACCCTAACCCTAAATCTCTAAACTCTAAATCCTTCAAATTAAAGTAAATCTTTAATGGGTTTTGTGCAAATTCATGTGTGTTATTGTTCATCACACCATAAGTGATGATTGACATCATTTTAACATAAATCGCATGTTTAAAATGACGGTTATGAAGCGAGTGCACTGAATGCACCAAAAAAAGTGAGTGCACCGAAGTCACCACCATATGGAATTGTTCATTGCA